GCGATCCACAACCAAAAAACAGTGATAATCTGCTAAAACCTTGCCAGATGCTCCAGTCTGAGAAATTGCGAAGCTAAAAATTCCAGCATGAGAAGAAACAAACGCCAAGATCACCAGCAGACATGGTTACAGCCAGATATAGCAGCATTAATTAATGCAGCTGGACAGCTCGCAAAGACGGAGAATCAAACTATAATTAACAGCTGTTTCGCATATTCTAAATACAATCATACCCTTGCGTTTTCGCGAATCTTACGGTAAGCACTACGATCGTATTACGCCATAACATAATGAGGATACCAGAAAATTGGATCATACTTTTTGTTGCAGATCGGTAGTGCCCATCGGTTTATCGTCAATAAGACACTGCTGTATCACCTTGTCTTTCAGCAATGTTTGTACGACGTCCGAATGTCGCGACTCAATAAAATAACGATTGTATTTTAACACAAGTTTCACTTTGCCGTAGCTCAGAGTACACATCTGAAAACAAAAAAGGGAAAACAGTTAAAAAACCAACACGGTAACAAGTCAGACCATCACTGGGAGAGGGGTGAGGTAGGGGCGGGGAGGGGAGGAGATATGTGAAGAAAAACACAGTAGAGCGGTATAAATGTTAAAGACGCTACTGCGATGATCGTATGTGCCCGGTGCGGATGCGCTAAGTTCTCCAACTGAAAATCCAGGAAAAAACGCAAATTCTCTAACCTTGATGAACTCAACAATGCCTTTTGGTAGCGTTGATTTCGATAGCCTTTCAAGATACTCGACAATGTCATTGGTTTGCAGACCGATTGATACAGCTGCGTACAAAGAATATGCCGTAAGCTGGTACTCATGAACAAATTCAGGCCGGCAAACTGGCTAAATAGGGTTCAACATTCTCAAATATTTCAAAGAAGGAAAATGACAAATCAAGCAAAACAGCAAAGTAAATAAAATCTCCTAAAACTAATCACTGACAACAATCGTAAATATTGCGGGCAAGGGGTAAGCAATTATCGAATGTGTCACAGGGGATGAAATCTGGAGGAGACACC